GTGGGGGCGGGGCCTGGCTATGCCCCGCCCCCTCGGCGCTTCTCCCTGCCGCCGGTTCTCGGGGCGGGGGAGGGGTGCTCCGTTCGGGAGATCCGTGACGCAGCCAGCGCAGGGGGTGTTGGGAAGTCTGTCTCCAGGTCCGGGGCAGCGCCGCGGGGCTGGGGGTCTGCGCCTACCGCAGTTGTTGCCTCGGGTGCTCGCCGTGGCCTGGGGGCCCGGGCCGGCTCTCCCGGGCGCTGTGTTGCTGGTGGAGGGGCTGGCAGATTGACGCAGCAGCAGCGAATCTTGATGTCATAGGTGACGTCCGCAGGCAGGTGGCTGTAGTCCTTGGTGCAGATTGCCATGCCGGGAAGTCAAATCCCAGATAACTGGCACTTTCCAGGGTCGCAGAAGAGTTGATTTGGTTCAGCTCCCCCAAATCTCAGTAAAACAAATACATTGAAATGTAGCGATCAAAGCGCATTTGTCTTTGCACTTTGCAGCTGTTCCGGCACCTGCCCAGGTTTTAAGAATTGCTGCTCCCATCCTTCCTAGGGGCAGTGGGGTAGATGGAGCGGGGCAGGACACCCAGCTCAAAAACGAAGCAGCCATGCAAATGTAAATCAGCTCCCCCTTAGTCTTGCACGTGGGTGACTGCTGCCACCTGAGTGGGCGGGGGGGGGAGCACATGCCCCCCCAGCAGCCAGTCATCGACAGGGAGGTCCCTCGCGGCTAATCTTTCCCACCGTGCGGGGGGTCCCCCTGCATCCAACCTCACCAAAGGTGGGTGTGTGTGTTGGGGGAGGTCTGTCCCGTCCCTGCTCTGATTTCTAGTGGCTTGTCTAACCCCCTGCCCCCAGCACCAAATTCACCAACTGCAGCTAGAGTGCAAGGGAAATCCAGGCAGCCCCTGACTGCCCTGGGCTAAGCCATCCGCACATTTCATGGCTTTTCCTGGATGCAGGGCATGCTTTGCAATGCGATGGGGCCTGTGTAGGCCAATGGAGGCACAGCTAGGCTGGAAACATGCTCTTGGAGGTTTCCTGCCTGAAGGAGAGAGACTTTGGCAGATCGCGGACACATGTGCCCTGGGACTCCGCTTGCCTCACCACCCGGCCCAGCCAGGGCCCCACTCCCTTCCTCACCCCAGGGGCCCTGATCTGCACCCCGCTCCCCTGCTTCTTCCTCCACAGACTTACCTGCTGGGGGGGGTGCACATGCATGCCCCCGCACATAATTTTTTCTCCCTCTGCCCCCCATCTTTCTCTCCCTGCAGACTGACCTGCTGGGCAGGGGGGAATGGCACACAGTAGACCTTGGTTTGGACTTGCATTCAAAAAGTGATCTTGTCCTTAAAACTGCTTTAAGTGAACGTCCTTATGCCTAGGGACTTGTGTTTGTCCCTTCCCATTGGCCTCTGACCCTAACCCCTGGGACAGTCGATACCAAATCAGTTCCTCCCCGGCTGTAGCTATTGTGCCTGACACTGCAGGGGGTTGTTACAACCGGGCAGGAGAAACTGAGGCAAGGGGGCTGGGAGCAGAGTGAGGCTGGGAGGGGCAACCCCCCCCCCACTAGTGCCTCCCTGAGCCCAGCAGGGGAGGGGGGGTCTCCACCCCTTGGAGCAGCCCTGCCCTGCCCTGCCGGCTGCTGCCAACAAAGGGTCAATGCAGGGAGAGGGGGAGCTGCAGCAGGTATGACCTGTGGCTGACGTCATGGTGGGAGGAGCGCAGGGTTTGTATTGCAGCTTCCAGGAGCCCTGGAGGCTGCAGGGAGGGAAGAGAGAGTGAGGGGCACGGGGCAGGGCTGGGCTGGGCTGGGCTGGCGGGGAGCAGGAGCTGTGTGCTGCCTTCTCTGCAGCCTTACACCTGGGGGCGAAGACCCTGTCCATCCCCCCGGAGGAAGGTGGGGAGAGGGCTGCAGGGTTTTGTCCCTGGACCAGAGCCAGACCCCACTTGGGTGGGGGGCTCTGGGCCCTGACACGTGTCCAGAGGGTCTGGCTGGGAAGAGGCCCTGGGCTGTGGGGCTGGGCAGGAGGAGCTGTGCCCGCTCCAGGTGCTGTGGGGGCACTTGAGGGACCCTGGGAGACAGGCTCATGAGGGGATGTGGGGCAGGAGGCTTGGCTGGTGACCGGGAGTTGTTGGGAGACACTGCCCAGACCGACGCAACCTGGCTGTGGTGCAGTTGCGTGGCTGTGGGTTGGGGCTAGGGGGAGCTGGGGCCATGTGCAGGGCACTGCGGGAGGGGCTGTGGGGCTGGGCAGGGCAGCTGTCCCCCCATGGCAGAGGGGAGTCAGCGCTGTGAGGGCACTGGAGGGACAGTGGGGATGTGGGACATGGGCCACTCCAGGTGCCAAGCAGGTACAGCAGGGCCTGGCGGAGGCTGAGAGCAGGTATGAGGCTGGGGTGGGGAAGGAGCTGTGGTTGGGGGTTTCTGGAGCTAGCCCGGTTCCTGCTGCATACGTCAGGCAGGAAGGGAAGCGAGGACAACCCTGAGGCTGCTCTGAGTGGGCATAGCCGGGGGTGATGGGGCTGGGCAGACCTCAAGGCAGGGACAGGATCACGGTCCTGGATCTCCCATCAGGTGGTGAAATCTGTGCTCTTTCTTTTCCACAGGTGGCCCTGGAGACCAGACACTGTTGGCAGGTGCCATGCATGAGTGCAGGGAGAGCGAGGGCCCAGGGCCCCGGCTGGGTGAGGTCTTTCCTGGTGGAGACAGTGGCTGCTGAGCTGGAGCCCATGGCAGCTGTGGACCTTCCCTTCACAGCCTTGGTGCAGCCTGAGGTGAAGCTGGAGGAGCAGGACCCAGGAGGTCTTTGGGCAGGAGACGGGGGGGGGGGGGGGGGGGGGGAGGCGTGTGGGGGGGGGGGGGGGGGAGAACAGCTCCCTCCTGTCATCCAACCTGGGGTCAGGGAGCATCCCCGAGGTGGTCAGTACCACGTGCAGTAAAGCAGCAGCTGCAGGAGCTGGTCCAGTGCCAGGAGATCCAGGGGTAGGAGATGATGCAGGCCATACAGCTCACTTCCCGAGGCTTAGATTCCTTCAGAGACCCCACAGCTCTGGAGGATGACCTCCCCACCCAGGACCTGGTCTCAACACTTCAGGTGCCTCTGCTACCCAGAAGCCAAGGGGACATGGGAGGCTTTTGGCCACCTGTGGGACCTCAGCCAGCACTGGCTGGATCTCCAGAGCCACAGTCGGGAGCAGATTCTGGAGCTGGTGGTGCTGGAGCAGTTCTATCCATCCTGCTCCAGGAGATGCAGAGCTGGGAGTGGGGGTGCAGCATGACCCTGGGACAGGAGGAGGATGAGAAGCTGCAGGTGAAAACATTTCATCCTGATCATGGATGCTGCTGTCCCTGTCTCCATGTGCTTGAGAGATGTTCCCTCCCAGCCCCCTCTCCCCCAGATCCAGGCTCCCCAGTGACTCATTTATCTGGTTTCCAGGTTGCAATGAGTGGGAAGGCCAAGGAAGTGTCCTCAGACAAGATGCAGCAAACTGGGGCACTGCAGGAACCTAGTGATTCCTGGGCAGAGCAGCCAAATGCCCATCGTGCGGAAAGGCCTCTGGAGGAGTCAGGAGACATGGAAATCTCGGGGCCTTGGGACAAGCCACCTCACGTGCCCAGAGAGGAGCCCCTACCCCACCAGGAGTCAGGTGAGATACAGGATGGAGGCCTCCACGTGGGTTTGACTGCCTGCGTGTCTGTCCTGCATGCAGTGGGAGAGGCTTGAATGTCTGCCCTAGCACGTGACAAGGCTGCAAGATTCATAACCATGTGGCTGAGCTGGGACAGACCTGATCCCTGTGTGTGGGCAGCTCTGAGGCTGAGAACCCTGATCTTTCTCACTGCATGTGTGCAGCACCCAGCACAGAGAGGCTTTCTCTTGCTTGGGCCTTGTTGTGCTGCCCTGGTAACAATCAGTGATATAATTCACATTCCAAGAGTCAGTGTTCACTGGACACTTTCTTATGCCCCATAAGCCCTCTGTGCCCAGTAAGGGGCTGGTTCAGGTGATGGGCAAATGAGACTCCCCAGTGGCCTCTGGCTGGTTCAAGTACAGCTAACCCAGACCTCTGTCCTACTGCAGACTTCCCTGAAACCAAGGAGACCTGGGAATTGTCAGCACATGAAAGCTGCTCAGGCTGGTGCCCCGGACAAGGCCCAGAAGCAGGTAAGGAGCAGTGGCTCTTCCCTTTCCAGCAGCAGGAGGCACCGTCCCTCAGTGGAGAAATCTCTCTGCCACAACATTTTGATGGGGTCAGTGCTCCAGCAAATCAGCAGTTCTTGTTCTTCTGGTGCCCCT